AAAAAAAGTATTACATCCGTCAAGTTAAGATTCAAAACAAATATGTATTTGAAAAAATTTTCATGCACTCTAAGATATCTATGTTTCCTTGATTTACGGTATCAAAACGAAAATTGTTACAGTACCAAAACATTTAGTTGGTACCGTATATCTATCCGATCGATGCCCTTTTAGCAATATTAACTTCTCAGAGCGACGCTCGTTTGAACTGAACGATACGCTGACGTACGTATAAGAGAAAAAGGGAACCGAGACAAGTAAGTATTCATCCTAAATTCCAATTAATCAATTTAGTGCGAGCCATCTTTCAGGCAAGCAGAAAGAGAGTACGAAATATCATACACAGATACCGAATGTCTGAAGGGCTTGTTTTAAAGACCTATTTTCGCTCTCAAACTGAAGTCGTTCCATTCGCCATTTTTTCATCTGACACTTCATTACGGCGAGTTTCCTCAGGGCGAACGAGAGGTCGTAGATCTCCGATTCTTTAGAATTGTCGCTGAAAGGATTGTAACTGCAACAACAGCATGGCTCGTTTGGTGGATCAATCGATGCTTCTGCAGAGGATGCGTTGCATCCGCAACGGCAAAATGACGAAGTAAACCGAGCTTCCATTCTGTAAATAATGTATTAACATTTTACCAGATTAGAAATTTCTATAGGGTATTAAAAAAAATAGTGCAACATGGGGTGGGTCCCATCCATTCCACCCTGATTTCAATAAAATTGTGCAATGTGGTAAGGATAGATACACGTCAGAAACTTTCTACCGATGCTTGGTTTTTTAATAAGATTTGTCTTCCTCAGAAATTCTAAGGTAAATGCCATGCAGTCCAACACAGTCCTCTAACTAGAAGGCACCCTTGCCTTCCCTACTCAGTGGTCAAATCCTCCAGAAACAATGGCTTCATTATTCTGGACAATCGCGCAGTGTGTGTGGACACTTTTCGCGGACTTCTATGGTGTACGTGCATGTGCGAAATAATTTCATGGATACTCGTGGACAGGACAATTGTTGTACGTGATAACCAGAGGGGGTATTAACCCTCTCTACTCGATAATATTCGTGAGAGGATAATTACATTTCTTGAGAATTTTATCAAGTAATCATAGTTAATACGATAAAAGTGGGTTCGACTTAAATACCACGGTTACAAGTTATCGACATTTTCTTAAGTAGACAGCTGTACTACCTACTTTTTCTGGACGTCGTTGAGTCTTTAGAGTGACTGTATGCCCCTTACGAACTTTGCCCCGCTGACACTCCGTGCGCGCGGATTGCCATCATTTGGGTTAATTTTTAAACGCTTATAACTAACAAACGAAGCATTTGTCACAATTTCGTTATTCTTGATTTTCATTTTATTTTGCCCCAAAGAATCACCCTTTACATTTTTTCCCACTAGTGGTCGAACACACTGCATATATCCAAGCGGTCGCCCGAACGGTGAACATACACGCGGATATTACTGTACATAATAGACTGTGAGGTCTTCTGGTACGGCTAAAGTCGAGATTGTAGGACAGAAGTAGCGCAAGGGTAAGTCTTTCTTGCTCAAATATCGCAGAGGGTGAGGAGAAAGCGATTGGAGAGCGCTGAAAAGGGATACTGCATGCATCTAATGCCACCAACAACAACTATGGATAGGGAGGCATTTGCTCGCCTCCCCCCCACTCACATTACAGGTTTTACAACACCAATTGGGGTCTGGTTGTAAACGCATTCTCGCTCCACGAAAGCTATACCGTCGACAATATGCGCGCGCACTTTCTTACCCCTCTGTTATCCCGCATGCCGTCTCCTAATCTTTGTATATTTATACTTGTGAGTAGTGGGAGAATAAACTGAATGATGGTAAAGACCATTTCGTCCTTACCAACAACATATTGGCCAGACCTGCCATAAGATGTTAGGTCTATTCTTATATCTCGACTGTGATTTAGGGTATTTTTTGGCCCGCTGCCAAATTTCATCACAATTAACAGTTGACACTTCTGGAGGGTCCCTTGTTAATTTTTACGATGAAGCCATAACATTGGGGTTTATTATACAGAGTGTCTAGTAAATCGTGATATAATAGGAAGAAAATGTTAAGTAACATTTTTTTATACACCAGTTTTCACTTCCGAGAAAGTCAAATTGGGTAATTCATCTGGTACATATAAACTCTATTACCATTGGCTAAGCAGTCTATCTATAACTGATTATTTTTACTTGCATTAGTGTACCGAAATTTTAACAGCGGCTGTGATATTCTAAATTTTTCTCAATAATTTCATATAAATCCCGAATAAGTATTTAATACTATATTTAGCAAGTGTCGTTGAAAATAAATGATATCATAGCACAATGAACGTTTAATAGACATAGAAATAGCACGTAATAGATAGGCGTATTAGCCAGATGTATGTATAAGTATGCGAGATCAAAGAATACTTACAAAGCTCTACATGAACAAATTTTATGCCACATTCCCAATTTATTTTTATATGAAATACAAATCCTGCAATCTGATTGCAATATGATTTACCGGGCATTGAGTATTAACTCCAACAATATATGAATAGCAACAATTACGAGTTTCTATTTTCAACGGAATAAAAACGATCACTTTACAACTGAATTTTATAAACTTTCTTACTTTGTTCTCCAATCCCCTCGATTTCGATTTTGATATTATCCACTATGTCACATTTTACAGGTTATCCACATGTAATTATTTTCACTCCGTTTTTTTACTCGCGACCAGTGACACTGATATAAGTGAATAATTATCGTAAATCGATTACAGAGCGCCCGACGCGACTAAGCGCGGAACTGTCCTCAAATAACAGAGAAAAAGAAAACTAAAAATTTAGCCGAATTATGCAATGCTGAAGCAAAGTATTTCGTCGCGGCTGTCACACTTTTATTGCTGCATGTCTCCGATGATCGATACAAATCGATAACCTATTTAACATCAAATTTCTTTTATTAATCCTTTTGCATTCCAAGAATTCTTTAATGCGAACGACCAATAACTCCAACATGATTTTGTGTCATTTGTGAAAATTAAAAATTTGTTTTTCCGATAATTTTTTATAATCGCTTATAATTTAAACTTCTTTTCCATTAATCCTATTCATGTGAAAACAAATAAAACTTGTATTATGTGATTATTAACATATGTATGTCGCTGTAATAACACCAGTGCAGTGTTTAATTTTCTAATGAATCAGAAGAGTTCGCGGATTATTGCATGATATGATATGTTTAAGATGTTGTAAATGGTTAATCTTTAAAATACTGAAAGATACGACGTCTTATGATATTAACAATGTATTTGTAATCTCTGTTTTATATTAGAATATTTCTTTATGACGATGAACAGTAATTCTGACACTAAAAATTTAGTATAGCCTCATCAACGGCGCCAAAATATGATTTGCATATTTCTAACAAAGATATTAAAATAGTTTTTATAAATTTCGAAAAGGGCTGAAATATGACACACTAAACTGTTAAATATTTTAGTTCCATAAGTAGGTCTAGAATATTTATAGCCGTTGGATTTCTCAGAATCGTTCTAATGCAAAATTTTTTATAAATACTGTGGTTTTATTTAAAAAACGAAAGGTGACTTCCAGTTCCTCGAAAAATTTGGTTCAACTAATTAACAACTTTATTCTAACTTCTAAAATGTCATTCCGTGGAAGGTAATGGAAACCCATGAGCAAAGTGTCATTCTTTACAAAATCAATAAAAAAGTGTAACGACACTACCTAATGGTTTTGTGCGAAAACTTCAGTTTTTTGAAATTCAATCAGATTTCGTGTAACATTTTTTACCGTATTTAATGTAATACATCATGCTGTGTAATCTATTAAAAAATAGTAAACAGACATGTTCTTTTATTCTATTAATATTTCTTTATTTTGTGTATGTCTTTATAACAGTTATTATTGTCTATTATATAATCTAATTAATAAAATCATTCAAAATAACTAATGAACATATGTGCATTTACTATTGTTGTCAGATAAAAATGTGAAGATACACACGAAACAAGTTGCTAACATCGCGACTACCAATTTTAACCTCTTCACGATAATTGAAAGAGCAAACAAATTAAAAGTTAAACTATGCGTTAAAACACTGAATAGTTTCATATACCCAAGCACCAATAATTACTTTCGTATAAATAAATTTTGAAGGTAAGTTCTTGTTCATTATAAAATTGTAATATGTTTAAATAAATGAAGATATATTAACGAATAACCAATCATCGTGCAGGGTGCTCACCAACTTCGAGTAGTATTTCCAAACATTATTTACAGAGAATTATATTCCATATGAAGAACTGTGCTTACATCAATAATGACAATTGGTAACATATAATTGAAAGGAAGGATGGACCTAGTAACTTTAGTCAATCAACGATTTAGAAATTATATTTAATGAACTTCGATATGGATTGTTTATAGGATTAGAAGTTTTAAGTTTATATAAGGAAACTGATTTAATCCGAAAGCAAAAGATTCTACAAAAAATGTTACATGAATATACCTTCAAAACTCAATAATTAAGGTGATATTGTTAATTAAAGTTCCTTAATTTGTACCATATTGATGGATCAGTAGCATCTAAACGTATTCTTATCTCGAACTCAATTAGTTTTACGGACATAAATTGAACTAAGAAAATATACTTATAGATTGCTTGATCGTTGTAATATGTAAACTACTAGTATCAAGTTAATTTACATGTTACTCTGATAAATAATATAATTAAAAGTCAAAGTTTGTGTTTGGATCAAATTGACACGAACATCTATCAAATTATGTACAAATTGAAACGAAAATACATTCTGTAATAATTTCAGTTTCACCGATTTGACCAATTAAAAATTTTCCTGTCTACAAACGTACTCGGATTGCTTCGACTTAGAAGTTCTTCGTAATAAAATTACTTGAACCGAAAACTTCATTCCAACTCGCAACCTAACGTTCGATAAGCAATAATGGAAGAGGAATCTCTTAACAATTGTTTGTCAATTGACGAATATGACGACACATACAAAGAGAAGACAAGAATATCCGAAGTTGCAGCTGTCACTCTGTGCAAGCTAAACACTATATTGAAGCAGATGAAGCATTGGAAAGATGATCGGGTAAAACTGAGGACCAACATTTGTCGACTGAAGTTAGCGTTACGCGTTGTTGGAAGAGACACAGACGACGGTCTCTATGCTGATCCGTTAGTCGAACATCAGAAGGCGGAGATCAAACGACTAGAGGGGGTGAATCAGTCGTTGAAAAAGGAAATCACGGACTTTAAGAGCACTTTATTTGGGGAAGACTATATGACATCTGGCAACGCTTGGACATCAGACAACAAATTTCTCAAAGTCAAACAAGATTTTTATGTCGAGAACGAACGGTTGAGCAACGAAATTCACTATCTCAAAACTCGGTTGAAAGAGGTAGAAGAGGGACAGGTGCACAGTTCCAAAGTAGATCATTTGAAATGTACGCTGAAGCACTTTATGATGGTCGATCACACCATGGAAATAATATTTACCGACATAATCAACAGAGTTGCCGAGACAATCGCGAATCTGTCCAAGGAACTTGTAAACGTGAGTGGACACTTGCAAATGTTTAGATTGAAGAACGATAATTTATATTTGAAGATCGATAAATTGAAAGCGTTAGTACGATCGAAATGTGGTAACTCGGTGGATTATCAGAAGAGGATCGTCGAATTAGGCAGACTAGCAAAATGTCTAAAGACGGAATTGTGCGTACTCAAAGTTAATTTTGAAGACGAATCATGGAACAAGACTTCCAAAGCGCAGGATAATCTCAAAAATGCCCAACAATTGGCAAACGAGCTAAAGAACAAACTGAAAAATGATTACGAGGCCCTGCTTGCCGCCGGTAATCCAGATTGCTTGCAATACATTAAAAAGATCGTTGATCTACGCTTGAACTTGAAACAGCTGCATCTTGAACTGACAAAACCAACGTTACTTTCCTGCTGTCCCGACAAGAAAAAAGAGAACAGTAAATACTGGGAACAGATATTCAGTTTGGAGTCTATTTTGAAGCACATGTGTATCGATATTGATAAATTTAAGAACGATCACGCGGTGAAACACTGCAAGTTTGAACACACCGAGAGTGTTGAGTATCTGAACAAAATGGAAGCGCTTCAGGTGATCGTCGAAATAGTAAGAGTAACTATAAACGGATTAAAGCTTCAAACAGGAGAAAATTCAAAGAGAAGGGAAGACATTGAAAAATTAAAAGATCTCATTGGTAGAATGTGTCACGAAATCACGCAATTGGAAGTGATCGTTGCGCCGAACGATAGCTCAAGCTTGTTCAAGCGGATCGAGGAACTGGAGGAGTCCATCATTCGCTTAAAACCAAACTTGAACGAAGAGCATGAGCGCGCGGATCTCTTCGAGCAGAAATTATTCGATACGAAAACTTCGCTGGAGCAAAGAACCATGGAGCTAAAGGATATGCAACAAAAGGTCTCGACGTTGACGGAGGAGAACAAAACTTTAAAGGTGAAAGTAAAAAAGACAGAAGACAAAGTGTCAGAATTACAGCGTGAACGGGAGAATGACAGAAAGGAATTGGAACAGCTGCAACAAGTAAGAAATGAAGTGAATACAATAAGAAAGAAATTGCTAAACCTCCATACTGAAAAGGACGAACTATTGAAGGAGATAGGCAAAATGCGTGATGATTTGCTGAAGAAAAACGATGAAATTAAATTAATAACTTTCGAAAAAGATCCAATGGAGAAGTCATTGAACGCGAAAATTGCGGGTACTGGAAACAATCTTCACGCAACTGCGAAGGAAAAGGTAAAGGTGCAAACTAAAGTAAGCAATTTCAAAAAAGCAGTACGTAGATCTAAGGAAACTAGCAATCTAGACAAGGAAAATGGGAACGTGAAAGCAACAGAAAAATCATCAGAAGATATCAGTATTCAACTGCAGCGACTAAAGCACGAGTTAGAAACATCGCAAGAGTGCCTGGATAATGCGAACCATGAAATCGTCAATCTAAAAGCCAGATTGGACCATTTCTCTGACGACAAGGTAAGGCTTGAGGAGAGTATTTGTCACTTGGAATCAATAAAAAAATTACTCACGTACCAATTGAGCGTTGAAAAAACTATCGTTGAGCAGAAGGAGAAGGAATTGACGAAAATGATGTCGGACTATAATGAATTAGACAAAGAAAAGTCTAATTTAAAGAACGAGAAGGAAACATTAGGGATGGAAGTGACAGATTTAAAAACAGAAAAGGAATTGCTCCAGAATTCTATAAGAAACGTTACGGCGAAATGCTCTATACTCGAACACGAGGTCAAGGAATATAAGTCTGAGTGCAGGGAGCTCCGAGAAAAGATAAGGAATTTCAAAACAAGCGCGGATGATTTAGCGTCCAAGTTGCAAGACTCTCAGGCGGAGCTGAACGGAGCCGGAGATAGAATAAGACTACTGGAATTTGAAAATTCGAGACACCGCGACAGTTTAGCCAAGTTGGCTGTAGAAAACACCGATTTCAACAACCGTATGCAAGTGCTCCTGACAGAAAAGGATGACCTCACGACGCGTATTAACGAGCTCCACGCTGAGAATGTCGTGCTGAAGGATCAGCTGAATAAAGTTAAAACGGAGAACGAGTGCTCCTCCGTCGAATTGAATAAGGTGAGAACGGAGCGTGACGAAGCGAGGTCGGAGAACGCATCGCTGCGGAATACCTTCGATGAAACGAAAAAAAACAACGAGACGTTACAGAAAACAACCGAGGAGCTGAAAAGAAAACTGCACGGCGGTCTCAGCGAGCGCAGAGTACTCGAGAATCAGCTGAAAATTTTGGAATTGATGAATGTCACGTTAAAGAAAGAGAAAGAAATGTTATATCGTGAATATGTTGGCAGCCTACGATCTGAACATCTAAAGGCGGAATTAGAGAGAGCCGTAGTAAAGGACGTGAGTTTCAACGAACAGGTGAACAGTGGACAGATTGTCGACTGTATGCCGGAAAAGTGTGGTAATGAAAGAAAGTGGAATGGTACGAAGTCCGATAAATGCATAAAGGGGAAGATAAAGATGAAAGAGAGGAACGATGAAATGAAGAAGCTACAAATGGAAAGCGACGCTTTGAAATTCGAGCTGTCTAACTTGAGGAACCAAAACTATGAGGTCAGTGTGGAGTTAAGTCGCAAAAAGGAGAAATTTCAGAAACACGAGATCGACTTAACGCAGACCACCGTGAACAAAGTCGCAATCAGACCTACTATCAATCTTTATTGCAAAGAAATCAACAGTTACTCGGACCACTATTCTGAAGGCAATGTAGGCGCAGTAGCGTGTATTAACCGTTCAGATGGTTGTTACAACGAACAGACAACGGATCAAAAGTCCGGAATAGAAATCGAGAGACTACTTGAACTCATAAACAAAATGAAAATCGAGAACGTTGCATTGAAAATGGAATTGAATAATTTGAGGTGTAACTTTGTCGTTAATTTCTCGGAGAACGAAAAGAAATGGTACGAATTGCAACACGCGTTAGAAGAGATTCGAGCTTTGAAAGCAGAATTGACAAAATTGCGAAATGAGAAGGCGTCCTTACAAGTTCGACTAGAAACAGCTGAAACAAAATTGGATCGGCTGGATTCGGAGAAGATCGCTTTGAAAAATGAGCTTTATACCTTGAGAAATACGAATGCTGAGTTCAAACGCAAAGCGAACGAACTACGGTGCAATTATAAAAAATTTAAGGAAAGAAGTATAGGTTTTGGAAATTGCATAATGGGAGCAATGAAAAAGATAAAAAAGTACACGTTGAGCACGGAAAATCCAGATATCACAGACGACGAACTGAAGGATCTTTTGAAGAAACTCATCTCATACGAAGAACTTGTGCAATCGATCAACGAGGTGGAAACAAATTTCGAAGGCATATATGTTGACGTTGGAACGGCATGATTTCATAATGCCACTTTGTAGCGTACTCTCGCATAAATAAATATTAGTGCTGTAATAAAAAATCAATCACAAAAAAAATCAAGTTTCAATACTATGAAAGTTATTGTAATTGTTTGTAATAGAAAAAAAAGTACAATACATGTCAATATATTTCGCACGGTTGTAATATTACCACTAATTCAAAGAAGCAATAACGCTCTTGATTAAAAACACAATGAAGCCAGATTCACACTAGCGGTCACGGTACGGTCAGATCACGTCAAATCCAGTAAAAGTCTTTATCGCTCACACGTAGTTCAATGAGAAAAGTATAGGTTAAATTCAGACTGATCGTGATCTGACCGTGCTTTTGACCGCTAGTGTTAATCTGGCCTAATAGTTCACGGAAACTGGTAGTTCTACACAAATTTGTGTTCATCGTTCAAGTTTTATGAGTTCTTCTTGTTACAAAAGTTCAAGAGTTCAAATAGTTCAAAAGATTTCTATGAAATTGAAGTTATTCAAAGATTTCTCATGCATTCAGAAGTTTTACTAGTTCTGTTCCGTTCGGAGATCCGATTGGTTTTGATTCATTCGGTACAAGAATTCGAATAGTTCTCTTACGTTAGTGGAAAAATATTCTTTAAATCCAACAAGTCAAGGACCTCAGCTTCGGGTCACCGATTTTAATGAAACTGTCAGGGCATGTAAAAGATTTCAACCCTTTTACAAATCATCTGCTCCTCCCTCCGTATATGGGCAGATAGTCGAAAGTTCTTAAGTTATTTGCTCTTAATATTGTCCACGTGACTTAAATACAAGTTATGTTAGCCGATTATTTACAGATCTTGGAGCATCGGAACAGCGTCCATGGTTTCTATCGTGACAACCAGAGTGTGGGTTAGGTATGCGTGAGCTACATTCCTACTATTGGCCGGCTAGCAATGCCTCCCCAACTACCTACATGAAGCACCGGTGCTCTCTCTCCTCCTGTGGGACGGGGGGTAGTAGATTGAAAGTGGTAAACAGAAGGAGAATGGGGTTCTTGAGCTATTCGGGACATAGGCAAGTCATGTTAGGTGGTTGAAATAGGCGATATAGCTCTCTCTCGTTTGGAGGAGGTACGACGATGATCTGCTAACTTATTCAAGTGTTCTTCAAACAGTGTTTATTTTCAATTAAGTAAACCGTAAGCATTATCGCTTTTCTCCACTATCTATGACCTTCAATGATCTTATGTAATAAGTCGGTGAATTTATTTTAAGCTCCTCTATCACATTAAAAAGATCCATTTAAAAATATGGAGGTGGCCTTGAAAAATCCAAAGTACCTCCACCTGCAAAATAATTATAAATATAATAGCTCTCTTCGTGCTGTGCAATTTTAGTTCAACAAATATTTCTGTAAACCTTACAGTTTCGAAGATATCTGAGGTGGTAATAATTATTGTCCCACCCTGTATGAGTCATTCCACGTCAAAACGCACAGAATTGCGGTCATCGTCACCGATTATCGTCGCCTTTATTGATAACCGCGAAAAAATGAACCCTGTCAAATTTTAACTGCCCATCTCGAACTGTTTCCAAGATATTGAATGTTAAAGTTTTAAAAAATTGGATGAAATCAGCCGACACGACGTCACTTCAACTACAATATTTTGGTTATTTTTAGAGCATTGACTTTGTTCTCATATTAAAGCTAAAGAAACCCTTTATCTAACTATATACACAAAATATTGTTTATTGTTAATAAATACAATAAATATTAAAGTTACATTTTCAAACACTGATTTAACACTGTTTCCTTCCATAGATCGATTTAGAAAAAATCCCACTGGATTCCTTGAATCTTCAGCTTTAAATTACACTTCTCAAAAAGATGGAGCGATTTCGGGAACATTTAAAAAAAAAATTTACCTAGGTGTACGTCGCGTGGAGTGTGCCGATGTCACGATGAGCCAAACAGTTGCCACATAATTGGCATAATATTGAACTCTATCGAAGGAGTTTCAATGAAAGAATATGCTGCCACAATAGGAAAAATAATTGGACCGAATTCTATCCGCTTCATTTCTCGGATTTCAAATGGCCGAGTATACATATACCTTGACAGCAAGGACACGGTACAAAAACTAACAGCCACAAACAAGACGATAATAATCAATCATATTAAAGTAGATGTAAGACCACTTATCGTCCCGTCCGAAAGAATAGTACTTTCAAACATATCACCGACAATATCCCATGAACATATCGAGCAAACCTTTATCAGGAACAAAATAAGAACAACTTCGAAACTAACATGCCTCAAAGCAGGCATACAGGAAAAAGTAATTCCAACACGTACTAAGCTTTCGCAGGCAGACATATCTACGTTAATCTAATGGACGTTTATAAAATCCTAAGCTCCTTCTTGATAAACCATGATGACACTCAATACCGGATATTCACCTCAACCGATAAAGTGTCCTGCTTTTTATGCAAAGAAGGACACGTAGCAAGACAGTGCCGTATGCAGTCAGGAGACCCTCTTCGAATCCCACTGCAGCGGTTTTACTTTTTATTTTTAATTATTTTATAATTTCACTTTGTAACCTCCCAGTAAAATAAAAAACTTAAAAATATTCATTTGTGAGGTATTTAAAAAGAAGAAAATAAATGTTTCCACTTCAATATTTTAATTTTTTTATATATACATACATATTATGTTATATATGTACCAATTATTCTTACAATTAGATGTTATCCTTACAACCGTAATCTTACTCCCCCGCTCAGTTCATGCTCCATCTATATATGTCGATGGGGCCAACTCCGAATAGATCGAAGCGCTGATGTAAACAATCGGACGCTAGCGGAAACACATAATCGGTATTTGGGACGGCTTGATAATACCACCGACTAGGTATAGAATAGACCTATCATCCAATGCTTTTTCTGTCCCACGTTCATAGGGCTACGTAGCCCTGTTACCATTTTAGTGTCAATATCCGACGTTACCGATAAAGCATGAATTCTGAGTATTATTAGCACAAATGAAGTGTTATATATTCCATTCATATTACGTGTATCTATATGATTTCACGAGAATAAAAATATCCGATGCTTCAGTTTAAGGTTAAGGGATAAATATGACAGTCATGAAACATGAAACGGAAAAGTATATATTTTTTCACTTAACTACAAGACAATTTATTCTAAATGCATCGTTAATGGACATTTTATTAATGTTACTTTTTACATGTTCTTGTTTTATTCGTTTTTATATCTTGCCTTACATTTGTATATTTGTAACAGATAAATTCAGAATAGATGTAGTTTCATAAATAGTTTATCAAATCTACATGTGGGAGAATATATACACCGCTTTCATTAACATCTACATATTTATAATTTATATGGGAGTGTGAATAGTTTTACTGCCTATTGTAAGAATTTTAATACGCACGAACAATTACTTTCTGGTAATTGGTAAATTTTTACATATGAATTCACTTACACGTTATTTACTTCAAAAAGTAATTAATAAGTTTTATTTACTTCAGCTACGTGTCTCTCAAATTAAGTGAAATACAGAAGTTTTATTTTCTTGAAAATTAGTGTCAAAGAATGCAGCAACTGGTCAGATTAGTTTCGTAAATAAATCGAAACCTTGTATCGGCACATTGTTTTTTATGCTATCAAATATCTCACGGAATCTTTTAGGAAGTAGTAAAATCTTTTACACAAATTCAATGAAATACTTTCAGGTACCCAGGTTAGGGCTATGAAATTAGAATGTTCAAGAAGAGGTAAAAAAGTTTCATATTTGCAATTATTTTGTGAAATGAATAATAAATAAGGGTCTTAGGGATTTATACTGGAGAGCTAAATCTTTAAAAGGAACATGTCGCTTAAACAAATTAGTTAAATATGATATTTATTTGGGGAAATAAACGAGAGCGGTAGAGCGAGTTGCGGTATCGGTGCTCTCCGTCGGTGTCGACGCGTACCGAACGAGGCCGAAGATAGTCGGAGCAGGCGAAAGGGAGAGAGCGAGAGCGATAGAGCGAGCCGCAGTATCGGTGCTCTCCGTCGGTGTCGACGCGTGCTGAGGAATTTCAGCGGTCTATGAGGGGAGGTATGCGAGCGATACAGTACGGTAGAGCGTGCCGCGGTATCGGTGCTATCCGTCGGTCCGACGCACTAGTGACGTTGCGTCACACAGTTTATTGACCTAGCCGTGTACGCCGTGTACCATAGCCGTACCTGGCTGTACCATCCGGTGTTTGGGTCGTTC